TGGAGGGGATAAAATGGCAAGTACACTACTTCATTTGGGCTGTTCTCCACTCTACTCAGTTCGTTTCTATGCGACAGCTACGAAGACCAACAGTGTAAGAAGAAGCAACTGCTTCGGACACTCCCCTCGGGTTATTGTGGCTCTCGAGTTGACAATAGCTGGCATTCAAATCATACACCGAAGTAAACTTTCAACTTCGTCTCTCCCTGAGAGCTATTTGCGCAAGAAATTACTCAAACCACACGCCAGGTCTACTCGTTCAATAACAGGGCCTACTGGTGATAATTGCTGATAAGCAAATGATGACGTGGAAGAATGTGAATGAAAACAACAGTTAACAAACTTTAGATATTTGAAGAGGTGCAAGTACGATTTTGCATCATTGTTCCGCCTTCTTCGGAATAACTGTCCACCTCCTCTAATTCAAAAAGGTAGGTTTGCCATCTGCTAGAAGTGTAGTATAACACTAGCTCTTTTAAGTAATCTTAACTGTTGAGAAGTTGGTCAGCCTTCTTCAATAGCATTAAAGCCTAGTCATATTGGTTTAGAAATTGCATGTCTTGCAAATTTTCAGATGATCAGCACCCTTCTCCTGACCGTCTACGTCGTGATGGCTTTGCTAGCCGCTTGTTCAGTCGCATTGAAGTATATTCCTTCAGGCTTTGAAGAGAAAACTTTAAAAAACTTACATTTTTCAGAAGTATTTTATGAAATACTCTATCAAAAGGTCTTTAACTACACTTGTTGGTCTTAAAACAAAAATTACAGCGAGTCTCGTGCCTTTGCAAACGGCGGAATGAAAGCAATCGTCTGTCTGTCTGGATGAACTACCATTGCAGTCCTTACTGCTACTTGGTTTTTTTATGAACACTTTTTTCTAATAGTGTTCACAATAAATAAGTGTTGCATTCGAAACTCTGATGAAATTCAGCAAGTCTAGTATCTCTATAATTTCGTTGCTTGCCATATCTAAGGATTAAAGTGTTCGAGAAGAAGTGCACTGATCTCGCTTCGTGGTCGAAAACAATCTGAATGGATTTGGAATCGGCTCGACGCTACGATTACTAGGAGTCACATCGCAGGAAGGAGTATGCGCTGTGGACGCTCGACGTGAATCATCATGACTTTACATGGGGCGAAACCTCCGAAACATTAGCCGTAATAAAGACTCTCAACAACCCCCTGTAGGCTCATCTATGAAGGAAGGCGTTGAACTGCCTATCTAGGATTATTTATAAGACTTTCTGTATGGTTTTAGTTTACTGGTTGACGATGTGCTGCGGCGGAAGGCGAAAACGTCTGCATAAGCCAGATTCACCCGTTGGTCATTGATGAAAATGAAGATGACGCAACATCTCCTGTTTGCCTCCTCCGTGAGAATAGTGGTGAGCTCGTGAACAAATGAATATTCTGAAGAACGGCTTCTCGTTCTTGACCCTGTGCCGATTGGTTTTTATTTTCTCCTAACTTCGAAAAATTCTCATGGTGACTTTTTTAAAAATATCAAGACTTTTCTGTGTTGATAAGTCTCTAATGGTTGAGTCAATAATTCCCGTCCATTGAGGAACTCAGGAGTGACGGAACTCATACTTAACCTGTTACCTAGTGAGACACTTATCAATCAGTCGATCCCATAAAACTAGAGGACTTGGTTTTTCAAGACGCACGATTTAATAAAATCCCTTCGCTGAATTGCTGGAAACCTCTAGCACTGCGCTACGCGAGCACTGTGGCTTACTACGACATAAAGGTTGTACTCAAATAGTCCTTCAACTTTAAAACGCCGCGCCTCTGCGAGAAAAGCTTTCAACCTTAGCTACGTTGCGTTCAAGCTATCAACGGACGTGGTAGTTTTCTTACTAGATTTCAAGTCCTGCTGTAGCTATCTTTAATGGGAAAAATGTGACGGAGGCATTATTACCCAGCAATTTAGTGTAGTCAAGATAAGCTAAAACGAAGATCGGCATTCTCGAAGCTTTAACTGAAGCATAGAAAATATGTATGGAGCACCCAGCGAAGGAATACGCCAACCGTCTGATCGAAACATGAAAAGGCAGCTCGACAAACACCATTTTTGGAATGGTAACCGGGTTTATGGTGGGACTACAGAGATGAGTGCTATCTGACTTCTTTTGCATAGAAAAAAAAATTACGAATCCACACGAAGTAGATGTTAACGCAGAACAAATTCGTATTTGACGTTCCATTTATGTCCAACGACGCGATCAATGGTGATGCCTAAAACATATATCAAGGTCGAAAAGGCAGTGCCCATTGCTAGAACGAGAGTCATGAGTAGAACCGAAGCTCACAGGTGTGTTGAGAATTTGACGAAGTGATTGCAAACTCGAATATTTCGTTAACGCATGATTTTTTCACTCATTCTTTAGTCATGTGGGTGACGAAAGCAATCAGTGACGTTTACTATATTATAAACAAATTGATATTAAGAGCTAGTCAATCGTGCTGAATTAACGAAAAATAACATCTACTGCTTCAGCATGAACACTTTCTGTCATGCTGTTGTAAGTTAGTTAGAAAAGGCTCTTTTCAAGCTCTGAAGAAAGCGAAACCGCCGAAACGTCAGCTATTGTATACAAATAAGTCATGCAATATCAACCTCGTGTTTGCTTATCGAAAAAAAAAACAGTAAATAGATAGGATGTGTTAGCAAGCGCTTCAACGAAACGCTTTGACGCGATGTCAAGGGAAGAACAATTCATATGACACCGCGCTCGGTATATTCATGGTGCCCTCAGAAGAATACAACGCCGCGTACGTTGTGTGCCTTAGGCAGAACGGAAGTTCGCGACAGGGGCATCGTAACGCTGTTGCAGTACCGTCTTCTCACTAGAGGATCAACAAAACTTCCTCTGTTGTGGTTGAGTATTTCAATCTGTGCTACACCAATTTATCTTTGCACGTATGTTCTCGAAGGAAATGGTATTGACGGAACAGATGATTGAGAGAAACCGTCCGCCTTGCTTCGTTTTGACGCCACAACTGAAATCTTTCGACACTCCTGAAAATCACCTGTCACCCCTATCATCTGTTGCCTAGTTGTTCGTCGAGTGACTCGATCGGGTGTTAGTAAATTTTATTCTACTTTTCTTGTCGCGTCCGAGGGTAGCCCAGTGGGTTCTGCTAGCTCGAGGGACTGATGAACATCGTACGTATCCTTCAGGGTTTTCGCGAAGAACTCTAACCATCGAGTCGGTGACATTCCTGCTGTACGTTTGACATACAGGGGAATCCCGTTACTGACTAATCCTGGCTTTTGTCCAATGGTTGGCGCTAACACGCATTATGTCAAGACCACCCTGCCTTCAAAAGTTTAGCGTGTAGAACGGCGTTTCTGACTTTTGATCGTTGACGTAGGTTGGAGCTTCGGATCCCATCCCTCACTTGTGTGACACTGGATACTCCTAGCTTTCGACAGCTATAACGCTATGTTTCATTTTGCTTGCTTAGCAACCAGGTTTCTACCGCTTACGTTAGGGCAGAGAAAATCGGGAAATCGTAAATGTAAGCACGGAGTCGGGTGTTCATTGTTTTCTTCACTTCATCTTCGATGCTCTTGAAAGCTTTTTAAGCCACTCGTTTCCTGTTGTCTTCATTTTCCTATATTTTATAGGAATAAGAAGGTAAGAGGTAGATAAGTGAGTAGTCGGTGACGGATGCGCCATTCGTCTGACTTCATTAAGCATCGTTACAGGTGATGAATGCATATCTACAATGATTTGCTGTGGCCTACCGATATATCGAGCCAGTGCTGCAATCCTCCCAAGCAAGTTTGGTGCCGATCCCCGACCTCGAAGGAACGGAAGGCTTGGTGAATTCTTGCTGAGAATCGAGCGAATGACCTTTGCAGCGGATGTGTGTTACAGGGCACCTCTAACCATTGAGCCACACGCGCACCTCAATTAGAAGAATCATTAAAAGTGAGTCGAATATAAATTTAAAAAGTGTAAAGCGTTAATGTAGTAGTACAAGCGACAACTGTTTTGAAATTATTAGCTTATTTCGTTGAACCCAGGCGTTTTTTCTTGGTGAAATAATCGAACTCATAACAGCCGTGAAAATTTTTGGCATTTTATTCATCCTTGCTGGGTTTGTGAGTATAGAGCGCTAATTATCGGCGGTGAACACGTCAGCCTCCGAAAAGGCTAACAGCGAGTTCGGTCCCAACCGCAGATACCTGCCGTCCAGAGTTTTGCAAATATCTCAGCATCATCGTGTTTGTATTTCATATCACACCCTTCCATGAAAAGGAATAACACATACACAAAGACACACACACATACACATATACATACACATATACATACACATACACATACACATACACATACACATACACACACGCATCTACTTGTTTGAAATTCTGTCCATACATCGCTACAAATTCCCTCTTGCACCAGTTTAATATGACGCTTTTTTGTTCGTCGACGATAAAGTCGTGTTGGTTTTGTACTTTCGTGGAACGGTCTCACATTTGTCAACAAAAACTGCTTCTATAGGATGTGACGTTCACATATCAATCCCAATCGGCTTATCGACAGCGATTACACGCAGTTTTTCTTCTTTCGGCAAAAAACGCTGCAAATTTTGGAAATCAGAAGAATGTTTAAACATGTGGGTAATTTCTTTGGTATTCCAAACACATCATTTCTTTGCAAACCGACTTCCTGAGTATCCACGCAAGCTTACACTTCCGTTTCAAGAAGTAGACATCTTTTAACTCAATGGTACTTTTCGCCAAGAAATCTGCTCTCGAAGCAGTGCTATGAATTAGCGCTACGATACCGTTTTTCTGTAGGATCACTATTCATCGGACTCAGGCTGTGAATCATCGGAAGAACGAAAGTAGTGTAATAATTTTTTCACGATAATAACAAAAAACTACCTAAAGCACATAGACAAGGCAAATAATTAGTATTAACTACAACGACGTTTAAAAAATATCCGCTGTAGGTAGGAAGGACGTTTTTCGGAGGACCTCATCCTTGTACATCATCTGGTTTCTTAGGAAGGAAACGCTGTATCTGGACATAGTTCTAAAATAAAACATTAGGAGACACGAAGAAAGTCGTTAAAACTGAAATTTGCTTAAAGATAACAATCTAAGAGAAAATAGACAACTTTGAACAAAAACCACGACAATCAAAATAACGAAGGAAACATTGTCTCGGAGAAAAGTGGCAGACCTGTGGTGTAACAGTAAAGCGATGAGAAACACCTTTTGGAATCACAATCAGATCGCCGCGTTCGAGTTGGATACGAATCCATTCGTCTTCCTAAGAACAGAGTGAAAAATCACGAAAAAAGAGAAACTTTCGATCGACAGAAAAGTGAAAAAAAAGGTGAAATATTCTAAGATGCTACTCTTCAGGAGTCCAAGGTATTTCAAAACGATGGAATACCGTCCGCTTTTTACGCTCTTCTTAATTATCCAACAAAAATGGAGCACCCTTTAGGCGATTGCTAGAATCTATCATAGCTCGTATTCACAAGTCGTACGGATCCCAGTACACTTCCGATTCATCTTCGTTTCCATTGCCCATCACCATCATCACATTGCTTTGTTCCAAACATGCTGGAGCCTGTGACTTCCATTCCGTGAATCATAAACTCAACTTTGAAAACAGTCGACTGCTTTGGCCCACGAACACATCTGTCTATCTCCTAGTCGTAAAAGGTGGCCTGCTGTTGTTCCCAAATGTACTACTCTTCCCCCCTCAGCCATCAATTCATGTCCTCAAACAAGCGATCAACCCACATTTCATGTTTGACACATATTCAAGTTGGATCTCAATGAAGGAATATTTCGATGTCGTGTCCGCCATTTTTATGTTAAATGTTTATTTATTGAGAACGAGCACTGATAAGATAGTACTCTACAAAATTTACGACAAGGAGCATACGCTACCTCACACAGTCCTCCATGCATGCGCTTTGGATGTTGTTTAATCAGAAGAACACCACCTTCTTGTCAGAATCTCGTATTTAGTTGGATATTATTAAAATTCCTTCATATGGCCTCAAAAGGATAAATCCACGCGAGCTGCTTGTCCCTCACACCTAACGAAAAGACACGGTGGTAAAAAAAGACTCATTTACCCAGGCTCCAGACATGACGACTTTACGCGAGGTTTTCCGCTACTCTGCTACCCATTTTTTTTCAAGGTTTTGTGGTGTAGACTGCGGCAAATAACCAAAATGGGTAACTACCAATTTGAAAAGAAAAAGACCATGATGTTGTGGGACCCTAAAACTGCGTCTTCCTTTATCTTCATGATCATGGCTACATTTCTTGGACAGAATCACCGTGCGCGAAATCTTCCATTGATCCAAGATTCCTTGCTTTTCAATGTAAACTATCATGTGCATTGTGAGAGAACATACAGACTATGGGATCGTAGTCGCAATAAGAGGGCTGTGACAATATCTGGTCCTGGAGCTGTACTTTTCTTCATGTTTTAGAAACCGACCTGATATTAAGAGGCAAGAATTCAGCAGTTTTTTGTAAACGTGTACTTCAGACTCCGATATAGACATTTTAGAAAGTGAAAGTTAGGTGAATTTTTCCGTCATTATCTGTCGTGCCTCCAATAGTATTTTCTTTCTTTGCTGGTATAATTTATCCTTTTACTAGAATCTTCTTCTCCAGCGATTTACAACCAGTCATATGGCATACATTGGTGTCGACTCTACGTCCATTTCCTCTCTTTTTTCGCAATCCAGAGTTGTTTTCAAGTCTATAAACTACAAATTTTAAGTCCTTGGTGCCCGATCTTGATTATGGCGTCCAAAAGTTTTAACGTACAACATCAACTTTCCTTCTTGGATGTTAACAGCAGGTTCATGGTGACATTCGGCTGAACCGAATCTCCGTGAAGAGGGAATTATGTATGCATCTACTACATAACGGCTGTACCTATGACGATTTTAAAAAAAACCACCTGTTTATGTCGATATGACTGGCCTGCGTTTGGGTCGGGACATCATGGACAGCAATGTTTAGCCAAAATTTAAGTAAAGTTCCATGGAATAAGCTTGATATGGATAGCTTAGCAAAGTATTTACCATTCTCATTTCAGTTCTCTATTCCAAATTTCCCTCACTATATCAATTTCATCGATCCTCCTTATTCCATTGTTAAAGCCACCGATAACAAATTTGGAAGACTTTTCACAATGGAGCACTTGCTCCAGCTCATCAACCAACACATCCAGATTTCTCACCAACAGCATAGGTTAGTTTGCAGCAGTTTCTCTCATTGATCTTCCTCAAATAGTCACACGACAGAAAAGTATCATGAGTCAACGAAATGTTTTCTTTTTTTCACAAATAATGCAAGCGCTGTTACTTCAGTGGCGCATGTCTGTCTTCTTCCCATTGATCCTGTGTGAGATGACCATATGCAATTCGATGAGTTGCGGCCTCAAGAGGACTGTGGGGAACTAAAGCATGAAGAAAGTGTTGCAGTATTATAGGTGCAAAGTAAGAAGCCGGCTTCACGGCCAATCACAGGTACGTTGTTTAGGTCGCAACCTCAGATTTATTGGCTTCTCGGTGATGACTTGACCGCCTGACGTCGCAAACGGCTCCCCTCAGTGAAGGAATTCTAGTCGAGTTTTCCCACGATGTCTCAGGATAACTACACAAGAAGCTTCCTCACGGACAGTGGCAAGTGTGTCTAGATCCACGGCACGGTTACCGATTGCCGCTTAGGTTACCGCAAAGACAGAAACGATCCTAATGACTGTGAACCAGCAGTCAAAGCCGACGGTACACGTGGAAATTACCATATGGATACTTAAACGTAGTTAAATCTCAGACATTCTAACAGGCAAAAACCTAATGCATACAGATTACTGGAGCGATTGATATGACAAACAGGGTTATCACTTTAGAATATCGTCCATCCAGAAACCGTGTGTGGGCGGCGGCATAGAAGTTAGGGTTAGTATAGCAGTGCAGTTCACATTAAATTTTAAAGCGCTAATCATTTGAACGACACGATTCGTGGAGACGTTCGTCTATGCATTCTATTCGAATGATCACCTCTGGTTCGACGTCGTAATAGCAGGCACCATCTACTACCAGCGATACCACGTCCAGATTCTTTATTGTCGGTTCGTAGTAATCATCGAGCTGAAAAACGTTGCACGTCATTTCCCATAAGTTTACATCTCCAATCGCCTGCTGAAAACTTGTTTTCCCGAATTCAACTTTTCAAAGTTTTTAGAAACTTTTTTGCAAGCTTTTTAATTTGCTGTGATAAATACCAAGATTTCTTGATCTTCCACTGATTAAAAACCTAAAAAGTGAAAAATTTTAAGGACTCAGTTAGAAGTAGTTAGAGGTGCTCCACGATAAACAAAATGCATCTTGCGATACAATCTAACCAAACCTAATGCCTCTCTTTTGTAATACCAGGCTCGATTGAAAGAATAGGAATAGTGACTTAATACATCGTTGGTTCATATAAGTCATTTTATTGGCCCGGTAATTATTTACGTGCACCTCTACTATGCTTACTGGATCCGAAAGCATGACTGATCCCTAAGAGATTGATCATCGCCGAACGTGTTATCGTTTCACTGTCCCTTTTGTGGGTAGAATTTGAGGAAGTGCATGGCGGTATGCAACGAGTCGCTGCTATTGCGTACAAGGTCTTAGGTACAACTACTGTAATAAACCAACCAGGCCATTAGACAGCACCGGTAGCGTAAACCTCTAATTAGACTGTAAATATGACGACAGTCCTCCATGAAGCGAACCTTTTGTATAAATTTGCAATAGTTCTCATAAAATTAATGCCACATCTTCTAACCATGGGAGCTTTTTCGGTCTTTTAATCGTAAAAATTGCACTCCAAGTTTTTTTCAATTTTTTAACAATTTTTTAAAAGTTGTAGAAAAGTAGTGCGGTACTCATCGAAATGATTTAGCTTAGAGGGTGCGCTAGCTAAGGCGAACGACTTATGGATTTTGGGAAACAAAAGCGTCGAAAAAATAAATAACAGAAACCTTTTCGTTGAAGTCGGGAATGGATTCGCTGATAGTGAGCATATCTGAACTGTTCACCTTCCTCTCGATCTTCACACGTGATAGTCGTTTTTTCATCGCCGTAGTGTCGTTCATGTCAACCTATACACATTTTAGCGCTACTGATTTCTGCTCCATTGCGCAAAATCTGAGCAGCAACATTTTAGAAAAGAAAAACATCGTTGCCATCCACTACCGAGATCTAAATTGGCAACAACATATCTTTATGTGAGTAGAAAAACGTACTTTATAATAAACGACTCCAGTCAGCTGAAACAGTTGGTCGATGGTGATTGTCTTTGGCGGGAAAATGTGATGCGGAAGACGACGATCGCCGCATGGGAAAGGTTCCATGTGCCAAATTTGCATGGTAAATCTGGATATATAAATAGATCGCATTAAAAGCTAAAATGCCTTTGGGGAAAACAGACGAGTGATCGGTGCACAAGAACTGATAATAATGATGATAGAACTGAAAGCGCATTGGCACCGCTGCGTATTCCTCCGAACGCCGCATTACGATGCGTAGGCGGAATACTTTTGATCATTAGCGTTGTTGTGGGTAGCAAGATAGTAAACAACAACAGAGAAAAAGTTATAAACATATTTGAATAGTGAGTCATTTAAAGAATTTATGAAGAGACTTTCAAAGTCTGTGTGATAAGGTGAATTCATGAGAGAGAGAGAGTTAATGACGTCAAGGTCAAGCATTTGACCGATGTGTCAGTTTGCAGGACCTGCGACAACTTCGTCGTGACAGTTGACAAACTATACCGAAAAGTAAAAATAGTAGAAGGACTGAGGTATGCACGACCAACAGAGGTTCGTTGTTGGATAATGGCCTGCACGAGGCAGACATAACCATAATCGGGCAACACCATGGGAGGAACGGCAACGGATTGACCTGGCACGGAGTTGAACGAGATCACTGAACTGTTCCTACAGTTTCACGCCAATATCGCTGAATCATAAAAAAGGAATGACGAACAAACAACGAGTATCTTTCACTAGCAGTTTGAAAAATTCGTAACTTCTATCAAAATTTTATACTCCTGAACCAGGAAGTAGGAGTTGCAGAGCAAAATTTCTACTTACACCATGGATTACTGGTATCTGAGCCTATAAACATTCACTCTAACACCACTTCAGCACGAATTCTCCACTTCTAGCACTAAGGTATCCAAAATAGGTTCTATACCACAGCGACGGCCGACCGAGATCTTTAAGAAAAGATACGCCGTCGAGGAGAAATCAATGGTGACATTGATTGTGGCCCTAGTGGAGGAAGATTATGAACATTTTGATTGCAGGTCAGCGGAAATCAAACGCACAGTCTTTTATAATACCTCAACACAGAGCCAATCCCATTTCAAAAAAACCATTCACTTGTTGAATTTTGGGTGGTTACGCATTGGTCGTAAAAAAAACCCCACAACCAATAGTATACACAACCACAATGAAAAACATGTGTATTGATCAACAACGCTTACTTCTGTCAGAATATGGGCGACATCATCAGTTGTGGATACGACTTACACATATTTGAATATAATTTATTTTACATTTTTCAAATAAACATATTTCACTTCATAGTAAACTTCATCAAGTATAACAAAAAACGCTGATATCAACTAGTACTTCCCAATAAGATAGACGTTCCAACACTCCTTCATGAGAGAATTTCAGGTCTCTGCAGCTCACACATCGTTTTTTCTTTCTCTTTTCGTCGGTGAGGCTCAAATATCGGATAGCCAAGCGATTGAAAGATAGCACGCCTGGATAGCGTCAAGGAGGCGACAGTGGATTTCGCATCGCAAAATCTCAACGCTCATTTGCTCCACCAGTACTTTTCTAGGTTTTATTTAATTTCTCCACAAAATATTGGTGGTTATTAGAAAAATTATAATGCCCTTAAAGTTGCAAGGCAAAACCTTACAATGTCTCTGATAGCACGAAATGTTATCTACAGCCAACGTTGACAACAAATGTCAAAAAATCTAAGCTTTTGGAAATCTTTCAAAAACACCACTTAATCCTTAATTTTGCTGAATTATACATGTTAATAGCAAATAACATAGAGGCTACTACGGCTATTCACTTTACGCTAGTGAACTGAAAAACCCTAGAGGGAACCTCATTCACAATGTATTTCAGAGCCTCCCAAATGAGCATGAAAAGGTTTAGCCTTTACAACTCCTTCCAATGGTTCAAAACATCATCGTGCCTAGGTGACTTTTCTGGATGCCAGATGATATAGCTCGGTTCTCCTCCACAGATGAGCCTCCTGAGCTTACAAGGAACTCATGATGTCGGCAAACAGCGACCATAGGATGCCATGATACGAGCTTATGAGATATTAGTGCCTGTCAACTACTGAAAAACGATGAAAAAAAGTGGTTAAACTAATAGAGTAGTGCTTTTCGCGTTTATGAAGTGAACGGAACCCATTGAGGACTTCTGATGCGCGACAGGACGAATGGAGTTCACTAGTTAATGCTTCGAGTTACTCGATGGTAAATGGGACTACATGCGATATAGATGATATATAAAGAAAACCGACTACTCTTTAATGTGCTTGATGTCCAGGAAATTATAGAATGTAGACAGAAAATCTAAAAGAATCTAAACGCTCACATGACTTCCTAAAGAATTTTCCTTCCTTGGCAATAAAATCAGTAATGATCACTAGTGGGGTTTGGATTTCGCGAATTGGAAACAGAAGAGCAACTTAAAAGCCAAGTGGAAGCAAAACCGCAAAAGAGAAGAGAAAAGAAGAACGTGTGTAGTCGTCGAAACCTAGCGACAGCACACTGAAATGAAGGGGAGGAGACCAAACGTCGTAGGAATAATCGTTCGTCCAGATCTCGCGTAGATCTCGGAAACGACGATCGGGACCACCGATGCAGGAACGGAAAAAGAGCACTGTACAGAATTCTGGAATTCCAGTGGCTCTCACCGACCACCATCGGCCACTTTCGATGCTCAAGACCACTTCCAAAGCTGAACGCTAGGGGTGCAGCGAGCAAAGCGCACTGCCTAGGTTCCCGTCTCTTCTCTTTTTCTAAGAACAAACAATACTGGAATGAGCTGGTTTCAATTTTCTTCCGGATTTTAAAAATGAAACAAGGGACGTGAAAATCCGAACGTGTTTCAGCACATAATAAACAGAATGACTCATAGTGGGTGGCCAGAAAAGATTTCACCTTTTGAACTAACCAACAATCACCTCATCGAACCTTATTCATCTATGTGAAACAGAAAGAATTTTTCCTTTTTCACGAAATTAAATGTTTGGTAACTCGACGAAGATGAAAACTGATTTTTCTGAGCCTACGAAGCGCTTTTTTTTCGTTTTGGCCCGTAGAGACTTTTGTATACCGCCCTCACGTAAGAACCGCAATCACCACGTAACGTGGAAAGTTAGCCGACGGAATGACCGCGTAAGGTCAAAAGTTAACGAACGACATTGATCCTAGTAGTTTTTCATATTCCGACAGCGTCTGCCAAATGAGAATTGGTTGAGCAGAGAGACAGAACCAAAATCTTCAAGACTTTAAATTTCGAAATAACCTCAGCTGAAAACAAGGAAATCCTTTCTGCAAATCTGTCAACTCCTAAGGTCCCTAAGGCGTTAGTTACTTAAAATGTCGACAACTCATCATCTGCCGTCTTTTAACCGCAATCATAACCAAACTTCCAGGATATAAGAAATTTGTTTTTTTGTCTATAGAGTTCTTTCCGATGCTTTAATGAGCTCTAAAAAACTTCGCTCACAAATTGCAGATTTCCACCGCCATCGCTATCCCTCGAAAGTCAAACGGCTTTAAAAACTTTCTCTACGTCTTTAAATCGCTCCTGAAATTTGGCAAAATTTGATGAAGATGGAACTGCAGAAAAGACCCATGGTAAACAAAATAAATTCTGTTATGACAAGAACATAAGAAAAATTTTCTAACCTTTTCATTGCAGCTCTCAAGGATTTTCATTGGACATAACTACTCCTTGATTCGTCCTGAAGCGACACATGCGTGCATCGGTCCGGATTGACCCATGAAAACTTTCAACATGTGTGCGTTTCAAACCACATAAGCTTGTTGTTTTAAAGTACGAAATCGGTAAAACCGAAGAAGTTCGCCTTCCGAAATGAGAAGCACGGAATACTGGAACGGGATGAGGCAAGGGAACGAAGGGACATCTCGTGCATCTGACAAGCGTCGTTCGGCAGACGTCAACAGGACTGTTGCAGGATGACGGTGACAAACATGATCGAAAAGACTTTCGACGACAATAACAATAACCAGAAAGAAGTTCTTTGTTATTTGGACAAACGGAAACGAATACGCTGGAACGAGTCGCTGGTGTCGAGCAAAAAAGGCGCAAATCGAGTCGCCTAATAATCGCCCTTCTGGGCAAAAATTGTGTAAGCGGACGTATTAAATATCTCTAGGCGAACAAAAAGAAGCGACAAACGCGTAAGAAGTGTTCTGTAAAAAAAACTAGTGGATAAAGAACAACTAGAAAGACCAAGTACAGTGGCGTTGACGATTTCACCAGTGCAGAATGACAACCACAACCCGGTGTGATCGATGGAGATCGTATCTGCCCATTTGGGATTTGACCAGCCACCCACATGGGTAACTCTATTGTGCTTAAGGCCATAAAAATCTGAGCCAAATATTATGTTAAAGCGCCGAGGCTTCTAGTTTTCATGTCTTCAATGCATGAATTTCCTCTTAACCGGTTTCGGAGACAACTTGGATATGGATGCTATGCGACCACGTTATCTTTCAATGAGGTGTGTTCGTGGATTTTTCATTGAATTTTTTTGTCGTGAGTGTCTGAGGCCAATCGAATCGTCCGTTTTGAGTTCTACAGATATTGGATTTTGGATTACACACAATCAACTGGATTGTAGTGGTTCAAGGAACGGAAGCAAATCTTTGCTCGTCGCTGTCTCACATGAAACGTCTCTCGATGAGGTGAAGACAAGTAACCGTCGCCTTACCGTCGCAACGTTCGCTATACTCGTATGTGTCTCTTTCCATCAGCACTTACAAATTAACCAGCGAAATGAAAACAAAAGTGTATTTAGTGTCATTATGTATTACCCGGGTCCAAACGATGGGTGTGGCCAAATGTTTTCGTCCCAATATGACTGAGGAACAAATTTTAATGAATCGTCTGTCCGTAGGAAGTCTCAAATATCATTTCGACATTGAAGAAGTTCCTACGACATACTTGACTCATTTTCCTAGTACATAACTAGTTAGCTAGGGAGTAGTCGATCGGCAGTCCTATGGCACCATATTGTTTAGATGTCGCCTTCAAGCAGCCAGATTTTTTTACTTTTATCAGAATTCAAGTGTGTC